AAAGATTTAAGGACCATTTTTCCACAAAAAGAAGCTTCTTATCTTATGCTTGAAGACGCTAAAGCCTAAATACTTTGAGCAAAGTCTGTTTAGTTAAAGAGGAGCCACTCAAATTGCTACTTTCTGATGTTCTGATGCTTGTATTTCAAAAAAGGGTCCTGTTCGAGATCCCTATTTTTATAAGTTGCAGAAACGAATATATTCGTTAGAAGGTGTGCTTTTATAAGAGTCCCAATGTGAACACTAGGGCAGATTCTAATCTCGATATTTTAGCTTGTCATTGCTTTATGATTGATTGAGGGTCATTTCTCATTCTTTCATATTTGTCCTGGAACTGATATCTTAACATTATATTTCCAGGAATGAAGGCTTCGACATCAGTTAGTTATCACAAGGTTGATGACGACGAAAACTTCGACGAGTATCTTGAGGGAATGTTTCCTTGATGTAGATATCTTGCATGTATATATTATAGGAAGAAAATAGTATGGAGCTGAGTATCTGATCCAATAATCAAATATATCTGATAGAGTTGATGAACAAGAAAATAAGTTATAGATTCTAGCTCATATTTGTAGTTTATTGAGAAATGAACTCTTCGAGTTATGTAGTTTGAAATTTTGTAGCATTAATGGTTTTGCTAGGGGTAAATAATTTGGTGTACCGAAGGGTGTACACCCTTTCACATGGTGGAATCCTCTCGAATATTGGTTTCACCCTCATGTGACAGGGTGTACACTCTTCGGTACACCAAATTATGTACCATTAGCTTTATCTTTAATTGTATCCTTCATGAAATTATAAATTACGAGGATGATGTACGTGGATGAAGGCTCACATGATTGATAGGAGCTGGAGCTTTGGGCTCCCTGCTACGTTGCAGTCTTTGTGCCATTGGGCTCAACCCACTTTTGAGTCCCTATCACCATCACCATCACCTCCCAACACCTTTAAGAGGCAATGGATCGTAATAAAGAATCTTGATTGGAGATTTAGTTTCCCAAAGTTTTACTAATTACGGATGCCCAGTAAATCCGTAATTAGTAAAGATTTTAGGAAACTAAGCTCCCGTTTGTTTCCCATTAGTTTCTCATTAAAATGAAAAATATGACTGTTATCTATCACATCAAGTCATCATATTTGACTTTATTTCTATTGTGTGGGATCCGTAACGATTATATTTTTCATTATTATTTTTACATTAATATATATCAAATGGGGCTTAAATCTCCAATCAAGGTTCTTTATTACAATCCGTTGCCTCTTGAAGGTGGTGGGAGGTGATGGTGATAGGGACTCGAAGTTGGGTTATGGTTGCGATATCAAATTTAGATCCAAATTTGGTGGCGGTCTTTATGGCGGCGACAATGGTGAATGGCATTCACGGTGGTGGTGTAATAATTGAACTACTACATTATTCATATGGGCTCACTAATAAGTAAGGTAACTCTTTTAATCGAAGAAATATTTTAATGATTCCCTCCTCTAATTTTGAAAAGAAAGGGATCTAGATGATTGGGAATTTTTTTTCAACCTAATTCTTTTAAAATTTCTATTACAATCAGCACGATGAGATAATACATTAGGATATTACAGTAAACACGAAGAGTTTGAAATTGTATCTAAAAAGATCACAAATAAATAAAATTTGAATTTCGCATCTAGTAAGATTAACTTAATCAATACTAGATCGCAAGCTTCTTCTTGATCGTTGCCATAAATCACAAGCCTTTTCATTATTTTTTCAACAAAATAGTGAATTCTCTCTTATATTGAAGGGACAAAAAAAGGGGTCCCCTTTTGACAAAATGACAAAAGAAATGTCCTTTGATGCCAACTTTGTTTAATAAATTTCAATAAAAATACATTTTTTAACTATTGTAATTGTCATCGCCGGAAAGGGCCAGGCTCCAGCTGGTTAATGAAGTGTCCAAACGTTATCCGGATAGTCCTGTTCTCACTCCACGTGCCTGATGACGGAATTTGACGCCGTTAGAAAATTGTCCGTCGCCTAGGAACACGACAACTCTCTGTCAGACCTGCCGTTAAGTCCTCGTTAAGCACACGTTTCATCAATTTAAAATGAGTGGACCCACACGTCAACCCAACAAATGTGGGCCCCGCGTGGCAAACTCCAAATAATGACCTGCTGGCGGACATCAATTAATTCTAATTTTTAATTAATGGCACTTAGCCGCCTTAACAGTTTTAGATGACCAATTTACCCTTGGAGATTATATAGACGGAAAAATGACGAAGTAAAATAAAAGATTTTAGCCCCGTGTTTGGTCCTCATTTTTTAAAATGTATTTTTTCACAAATTCATTTTTAAGGATTTATAATTTTTATCAATATTTTAGTTTCACGTTTTATCAATTTTTATCAAAATTTACTAAAAATATAACTTTTAACTGAACCAAAAAAAAAGACGATTTTATTAATTTTTCTTCTTTTATTTCTTGTTTTCTTTGTTTAAAAGACGATTATAATGTTTTTTCACCTAATATTCCTAACCACGAGTGATGCTTGCCACGAACATTTGAGAACTTAGATGGAAATCGAATAATAATTTCATAATAGAACTTCTATAACCCATATATTCGTAAACAAACAAAATGTATATGTAACTTTTCTTGAAAAACAATTCAATGACTTACGCAACAATTTTTTTCCCCATCAAATACCTTTTCAGTCCAAAAGCAATGATAGAATTAGAGTGTTTGGTGAGTGGTAACTTTTGTAATGAGAAGTAATCTCACAATCAATTCAAAAGGTGAACCATTAGGGAGTGAGCATGTGCCCTAAATTTCTAGGAAAGTTACCTTATATGAGATTTCAACGTTAAGTCAAAATGAGTGCATTTAGCAATAACATAAAAGTGCTTAAATCACTTTTAAGCCTTTTGCTCCTCCCTTTTCTACCCCACCCAATCTTTACATTGGACAAAAAGCAAGAACTGGATCATGTCTTAAGTTTCAAAGCAATGATTAAGTACATGTTTGGCTACATAATTGATCTTCTGCCCATAATGGATACAGCTATGTTGAGCACCGATACTGTGGTAACATGTGGTTTTGTAACATTATCGATATTTTATACCCTGTCGATGATGTGGTAATATGTAGGCAACATATTTTTTGTTCACCATGTACATAAGATCAGTTCTGTGTTTGGCTAACCTCAAAATTCTTATAATTAAGTTTATTTGTTATTAAAAAGTATTGATCGAAATTGAAAAATAGTTACTTATTTCAAAAGTAATTTTTACCTAGTCATGAAAGCCTCTTTTGCTACTATAGGTGATAGGAATGCAGGGTTGAAATGGTTGATAAATTAAATTAGATTGCATTTATCAAAATTAAAGATGAAAAAAAGGTTATTCAACTTAATATATCACGGGATTTATTTAAAGAATGGTCAAATTTGGATTAGGATTTCCTCTAACCGAAAGTGATTTCCCTTTCAAATTATTTTATTTAGCACAGTATTAGATATAACCAACCTTTTGTCACCGGACAGCATTAATTAATTTTGAGATTTGTTAGAAGTGATCAATTTTCATTAATAATAAAATAAAAACTAAAACATTTTTTACTCAGTTTTTTTTTTCTTTTAAACGTTGTTTCTTTTAGGTATATCCCTTTTATATTTGATTTTGTTACATTAAAAATGACGTGTTAAAACACAAAATTATCAAAGATACGATGTTTAAAACTATAGTGAAGTTTTACGCACAGTTGTCGTTTATACTTAGATGAGCATTTTAATATTTTCTCAATTTTTTTACATTGTTTGAGTCCCAAACCTTCAATTTAATTTAGGACTTCGTTCTCCATCTGAAAAATGTTAAGATGCTTAAAAATATATTTGTAGATAAAGTGGTAACATCCCCCGTTTATGAACCATTGCTTGAGCCGCATTTTTTGGGGAAAAAAATATATTACTAAATAGTGTTTTGACATCATTTCAATAACATATTCTTAAATAAAATAATATCACATACAAATTCAAAATTTTTTCTTATTTCTTAACTATATTTTTCCCATCAATACACTATTCAAAAATATATTTTTTTCCTTTAAAATGGGACTCAAACAAGGGCTAACTTTAAAACAAAGCCAGAAAAAATCAAAAGAAGAGATATCCCAACTTCTCAATTAAAGAGCTTGTTTGGTACAACTTAAAGGTCAATTAAAATCAATTTTTTGATCGTTATTTCACTATTCTAGCCGTCACTTTTGAATTCTTCTTTCGCAGGTAGAACTCACTTTATCTCTAACGATCAAAAAATCAATTATCAAAATTCCTACCAAACAAGCACAAAATCTGAACTTAAAAATTCATATCATAGTTAGATCAAATTCATATCATTAGATTTTCATTTTTACTTTCATTTTCAAAGGAAAAAAAAAAAAAAGAAAAAAAGTCATTTCTACTTCAATTAGGTTCATTAATCATTAAACCCCATATATTTGGCTTAGCTTTAATAAAAAAATAAAAATTTTGGGAAGGGAGTAGAGTTAAATAAACTCTCCAATAATATTTGGAAAGCTTACAAAAGATTACCGTTTTATTTTTAGCGAGCCCTAGCGGTATGGTACAATCCGATATGTTATTGTACCTATAATTTTGAAATTATGTTCTATATAAACAAACTCGTGTAACTTATTTCGAAGTTAATTGATTTATTGATAGCATATAATAGACACAGATGTATCATCGAATCACTTAAATTTATGTATATCGATATTATTGTTCTTTCTTCTCGATTAATTGTTCATATTTACACATTAGTGTCATTAACATAGTCTGACTCAGGAAACGAGATCTCCTCTGTGAGTGGGATTGCAAGAGGAGGGCATTTTCGACCTTTCACACAGCTAAACTTAATTAATTAACTAAACTAAACTTCTTTCCTAAACAGAGACAGGAAAAGCGACTTTGGCGTGGACAATAAATAGTGCGACATCGTATAATAAAAAAATACATACAAATATATTTGTATCTATATGTTGCGTCGTGACATCAGACACTTTCTTCGAGCTTTTCACAGACAAACAAAATGAAGTTCTGAGTGTTTTAGCATTCAGTCATACTCTCCACATCACAATAATAATTAAAGGTAAGCGGTTCTTCCCTATTTTTTCTTGAAGAATTTTGCAATATCAATTGGGTTTTTTTTTTTTTTTTGGATAATTTGTTTTAATTTTTCAAACACAATTTGTCCTTGAGCTAAGTGTATAAACAAAAAAAACAAAAAAATGATGAAAATTGGAATTTGAAGGTTTATAATAGTAGCGTCGACTTGTTTTTTTGTGTTTCTACGCCATTTCGTTTGTTGTGAGCAATTTTTTTTTTTTTAAACTTTTAAATGATTCTGAATAATTGCTTGGTTTCTTTTATTTATTATGTCTTGTGAATTTTTGTATTCAAGGATTTTGATTTGTGGAACTGGCGAGTTACTGGATTAGTTGTAAAATTGGGGTTTGGATGTTAAAAGTGATTTTCATTTCTTTAACATCCTTAGTTTGACTTATTAGTTTATGACACCACAATAAATTGCTGATAGAATTTTGGTTTTTACCGGCGTGTTAATGTTATAATCTAGCTGATTCTGTAAAGGTTAGTGATGCTTAATTGATTGTTAAATTCCACAATGAGAATTTTTTTGGTAGGAAATATTTCGATAATTTTTGAAGTGTTCACTTTTCAGATTCATTTTGGATTTGTTCATGTTGAGGAATAAATACAAGCAACTTCATTTGGTTGGACAATCATAATGTCATTTAGTTGAATTTTTATTTTATTTTATTTTATTTACAATGAAAATGCAGTTGTTGTTCTTCATGACATTTACAATTTACAAGTATAACACCTCAACAAATGATTGATAGAATGGGGTTAACTTTTCGGAATCTTTTCTAGAAATGAAAGACCAATAGATGCCTGATAGAAGGTCGAATTACGCTTATAATTTTTATTTTCTTTTTGCACTTCCATTTGTTTTTTGCAGACCAGTGTAAACTTATTTATATCAACTGCAAATACTCAGGAATTATGTTTGTTTGCCTTTTTCTTCCTGGTAAATGGAGAAGCTTTGAATTTTAGCATCATTTGGGTTTTCGGTAATACTTCGCTTATGGTTTCCTTCGTTTTAATTCCCATAAGAATTTCATTAAGCTGTTTCTTTAGTATAACTTCTTTGTGACAATTGATTGTTACTAACAGATTGATGATCTGGTCATTTGTTATTAGGTGAAGAGTGAAGTATAATGCCCACCCTAGCTAAAAACAATGATCGGAAGCTAGAAACAGGTGTACAGAACTTTCAATCACCAACACCATATACACGGTCTTGGGGAGGCATGCCTCGTACTGAGAAACAGGCTGATAAATCAATCACCTCCAGAACTTCCCAGCCACAAGGCAATGATGAAGGCAGTGTTAAAGAAACTGAAATCAATGCCCCACATTCTGGTAGTTTCCTTGCTTTACATCTTGTTTTCATATAAATCTAGATGCAAAGAGAAATCTAAATTGTTTGATAGGTTTACTTATCTATAGATCAGTAAATCTCTTGCCCCCTCGGATATATCCATGTGGTTTCCGTTTTGAACATGTTAAATTTAATTTTTATGATCTGATAATGCCTGCAGCAGAGGTTTCCGTTTTCTAGAGAGTGCCATGTTTTGATTGTGATCTTCTTTAATTCTCCTACTTGTTTCTGTTGTCTTCCTGGATGGTCTGATGTTAGTCCTATTATAGTAATAAGATGGTGAAAATGTCCATTTTACTTCCCTGAATTTGGATGCACTGTAGTTGATATGTTCTTGGCTAGTGCATCATAACAAAACCGTTCTGTAGTTGTAATAGGTCTGAGATGAGTTTTTGTTTTTGGATAATCACACATGTACATGTAAAACGTTGGTATCTCTCCTTTTTCTTTTTCTTTTTCCCTACTAACTATTAGTTCTTGATTGAAAAATCAAAGTAGCTGTGGTTCAGAACTTACATAATCTGATGATGCAGAATTTTTGACATTTATTGAGTTTTGCAATCAGTAGCAGAAGCACAGCAGTCGGGCCTTATTTTTCTTATCTGTTGAACTCAACTACGAACTGTAATTAACAAATAAATGATCCACTACCATTTGCTCCCGAATTTTCTCATTTATTCCTTCAAAGTTGTGGGATTCTACTTTTTAGGAGAAGGTAGGATGGCTTAATCAAATTTAGAGCTCTAGAATAATGTACCAATTTTTTGGAGATCGTACCAATTTTACCACTTCATGTAACTTAGCTACACTTAGCCTTTAGTATGAGCGCTGTATCTACTCCTTTATATGTTCAATATTTCCTTCGAATTCATTTGGAAACAATTTTTCTTTTAAACAACCCAAATTAGCTTTGACTGAATTCAATTTATGTTGTCATCAACATCATGCCCGAACTATGATCTATTTTGTTCATGGATTTACTGGGGAGCAAAGTTAGAGGGGATACTTGGCTCTGGGTGCCTTTTGTCATCTGGTCTTTTGCAAGTTGCAACATTTAGATCATAACTAAAATAGAGAAAATTTAAATTGTTTGCAAACCTTTAAAATGGTTCTTAGGTATGTGCTATTAGCTCTTATCATGTGGTCCCATACTTATATGCGATCTTTGCCACACTTGTGTAATTGAATTTGGATCTAATTTTTTGTGTATAGCTTATTTTACTTAAAACAAGAATGAAATAACTAAATCAATTTACATTTGTTTCAAAACAGATTATTGATTGAGATACTTGTTCTGCAAAAGGCCATTAATGCCAGAAGCTAAAACTCTGAAGGCAGGTGTAAAATATTGTGCACATGTTGCATGGCTTATAAGATCTGTTACAATTTAGGTTTTTCTCGGCTGCACTTAGTGGGGGTAATACAGTTAACCTTTAAAATATTGGCTACTTCAAAGTTTGATCCATTGAGATAATAGAGCAAGTACATAGGATTCAAGTTGTGTTATGGTCTTTGTAAAACGGTTACATTCTTGGCCAATGTTCAAGTCTTTAACTTATTCACTGTCTTAAAACTTTAAACATATTTTCTATCTCATTTGAATCGTGTCTTGTTGTCACCACTTTTTCACTCCCTCTGTCCTATAGAGATAGGCTTGCTTTCTTTCTTTTTTCATTTGTCCCAAATTATAAGCCACTTTTCTCATTGAGAGTATAGTTCATTTATTAATTTCTTTCTCCATGTTTAATGCGCCTTGTTATCAAAAATTAAGAACTACTCTTATTTAAATCATTATATTTGGAGAAATGTAAGTAAAACTTATATTTCTAACTATATTAATTATGTTTTCTTAATCTGTGTGAAAATGGAGGCAAGCTTTTGTGGGATGGAGGGAGTATATTTTATTCATGGACTTCAACTTCACGGGCTAAAATGATGTTCACTTTTATTCAATCAACGCAGACAAAGTAATGAGTGAAAGTATCGTTTTGACTAATCATTGTAACATATGGTAGAAGATCTAATGTCAGTATAAGCTTATGTTCCAAAAAGAGATTATAATAGAAGCATGGAACAGGATGTGCCAGTTGCCCCAGTCCAAAAGGTGGTTATTTTGGTCAGTTACATAAAATTCACAATATTTTTATGAAAATTGATTAGTTATGAGTTGGTGGATATCTACTGTTATATATATTTTTTCTTATACTGTTTTCTAATGCAGTTCACTTTATCTGGAGACAAATTAACTTGTTTGTCTTGTTGACAGAAATTGTGAATTGTCTTTCATATTTTTTACTTTTAGCTCATCTTGATCACTCAATATCCCTGTCATTTTCTAGTGAAACTTGTGTGATTTCTCATTAGGGGTGGAAGATGAAACGGATATGCTATTTTTTGAAATATTTAAGACTTTTGGCGAGTGGCACTGCATTGTTTTCTGCATCAATTGAGGGATGAAACTTTGTTAATGTGTACTAACTTTTCAGTTTTCATATCCTACTCAGGATCAAATGGAAGTAGTCGTCAAGAGCAGCAGCAGCAGTTTGATAACAATTCCCAAATGGAACTTGTTGGTCATTCAATTGTAAGATTTTTGCTCTCTGAGCCATGGGATATTATTAGTTTATGGATTTTGAAGTGGATCTCTACTGTTCCTTTTTATTGGAAACTAAGTATTGTTCATTGATTTGCCTTTCTACTTTTTGCAGATGTTGACTCCATATCAATATACAGATCCACAATATGGTGGGATAGTGACATACGGAGCACCGGTAAGGAAAAACATGGTCTCCCACCGACACCAATATGCAGCATTTAGAATTTATTCACTTCTTTCTTCCCTAATCCTATTTTCTGCTCCTCTGTGTGCTAATCACACATGAATAACTCTCTCTCCGTTCCCTTTTTTTTTTTTGCCCCCCTCATTTCCTTGTCTTATTTGATTGTTCTAATTGAAAAGCTGACAGCAGTGCAATTCCTCATTTTGACATGCCTCAACATTCATACTTGGGGCTCACCTCTTCTTTTGATCTTCTTTCGGGAGGTCTTTTATTTGACTTTTGATGTTGCGTGCATTTGGAACATCAATCTTATGACTGATGAACTACTTCACATGGTCCTTGTTTGCCGTGTCTTTTTCATAAGCTTTTTATAATGTTGCTAAAATGTCTTCCTTTTTGTTGAAGCAGGATTCGATATCCATGCATCTGCTAGTTGTGGCACAACTTCATAATAATTTGCATTGCTTTATTAGGCTAAAACTGTTGCAATTATCTTAGGACTCATTGTTCAGTTCAAACTTCCTCAGCAGGTACAACAACAATTCCTTGGATATCTTCCAGCAAGAATGCCTTTGCCTCTTAATATGGAAGAAGAGCCTGTATATGTGAATGCTAAACAGTATCATGGAATATTAAGGCGAAGACAAATAAGAGCAAAAGCAGAACTGGAGAAGAAAGCGATTAAAGTCAGGAAGGTAACATAATGCATCCCCTCCCAACTTGCATGCACACTCGTTCTACTGCCTGTGTGTACAAAATGATGATAAGTTATATATGATTTTTGTAGATTGTTAGGTTTGTTTCATTAGCACAGTTACTCTGAATTCACGTCCATGGATGTCTAACATTTTAAATGTGGTAGTTGGAAGAAAACCAGTAACTTGGACATAGGCGTGAGAATTTTGCTTGTGTTTTTGGTTCACTGTATTAGCTTCAATTTTCATTTTGCCTATATCACTTAAAAATAAATTTAGAATCAAGCTTAACAGGTGGTCTATAAATAATAAAAGGAGAAAATATCGAGGAAAAAGGGACAAGATGATACCTACTGCTTGCTTCTTTCCTTATCCTCTTTATCTCTTTGCCACATATAGCATGGAGACTTTTGTCCAAAATTATACCGGTGTTATAAGACTATGGAACCATATTTTTGGCATTTTTCTAGTTCAGATTACAATTTTTAGGTCCTTTGAATGAATGATGCCGTCTCTACATTAGGGAATGAAGATACTTGTGGCCTCTATGGTCTAAAACCAGGTTCTTTTTTTAGAAAAGCTACAGGTTGGCAATGCCCCCTCTTCCCTTTAGACACAGACATATAGGTACAGTTATAAGCAGATTTTGGATGTTTGCTTGAGCGTGTATATGATTTCTTTAAATATACCAACCCTCATAGGAGGATGTCATGATTGTGAACCTCAGCATTTGCAAGTATAATCAAAATTGGTTGCATTATAATTTAATGGCTTAGAAGACATGTGACTGATTTGGTAGAAGAAGATGAAAAGATGTTTTGTGATCAAATGCTATTGAGAGATCTCTGAAGTGATTTAGTTGGTCCTTAAATGCCTTGCAAGCTCAAGTTGCTCTAGTTTGATGCAAAAACATAATGGTTTCAAAGTGGAATTCAGAAAGAATAACGACTTTGCAGGACTTGTAGAATGATTGTTCATTTTATTATAGAATGAAATCGTCTCTGGTTAATACTTCCACACTTTCAAAAAGTTCAAAAGAAAAAGAATATTAATGATGCGATGCTTCTTGCATCCTAATTGAAGGAAGCTTAATTCTTCATCTTTTGCATTCATGTGGCTACTGGATGCACCATCTGCCTTTCTTGGGTTTTTATTGTTTGATTTTTTTGTACCGTCTTCTAGAAATGGCCTGAATTATTTAGTTCAGGAAGTCCTTTAATTCCTTTTTGTATCGATTGCTGCAGCCATATCTTCATGAATCTCGGCACAAGCACGCAATGAGAAGGGCAAGAGGCTCTGGTGGCCGATTCCTCAACACGAAAAAAAATTCCACTGAGCAGTCAAAATCTGGGTCAACTGTTCCTACGCAATCTTGCAATTCGTCTGTTTCTGAGCACTTGTCCTCCAACGGTGATGGTATTTCTGATAAACGAGGAGATGGGGGATCCATGGTTCTAAACTCACACAAAGAACAGTCTCTTCCAAATGGGAATAGCGATGGCCATGCACTATTTTTCTACTTGACGCAGTCGACTAGAAATGAACAACCAAGTGGACATATTAATCAGGATCATTGGAGCTTGCTGGTGAATCAAGTCCCCCATGGGGTTGGCCCCACCAAATGAGAGAAACTACTCTGATCAACAACCTATTGGATGTTGTCAGGCAATTCATTCTTGGCTTGGTTACTTGGACAATGTGCCGATGAGACGAGGTAGGAAGGTTATAGTGGGGATCTTCGGTCTACCCATTATTTCCATTCTCTACCATCTTCTCCCCCCTTTTCTTTAGAATAATCAAATATGAAAGCTAGAAACGCCAAAACATCAAACCATCTGTAAACTTTGATGCGTGAATCCTTTTTCGTTGTAGAATGATTGTGATATAATGCATGTCATTTCAGTTTGTTTTCGATTCTTGGAACTAAATCTCTGAACGATTCTTGAAAGCTGAAACTCTGGCGGAAACCTTACAATAAATAGGTTTCTTTGTACTCTCTCCTCGCCCAAGAATTTCTTGTAGTCCCTCTCTTAGCTGCGTAATTTGCTCGATAAGGTTTGTAAGATTTGTATTGTTGATTCGTTGTTGACGTTGCATGTCCCGGTGATGAAACATTTAAGGAGTTGTATTCATTTAGAACTTTCGAAGATTTTGATAGACTATTTTTAAATGATGACTTATGTATATTTCGCAAATTTTTTTTATATTTGTATAGAATTAGTGGAAGTCTTTCATAAATTTTTGTAGACTTTCATTTTAAAATTTTTATAGAATTCAAATGACTTTTATTTAAAGTAGTCACATGTGAATTTTGTGCAATAATATGAAATTCTTATATACGATGTGGTGATTTCCACAATTTCTTTTCCTCTCCCCATATAATAAAAAGATATTTTAAAAGGAAAAAAAATTAAGATTTTAATTAAATAAATAATAAATAGAAAATCAATATATTTAAATTTAGTTATAAATCAATATATTTAAATTTAAATTTTATTGAAGAAAACACTCTCTTTTTTTTTTTTGTTTTTTTGGGTGAAGTCTCCCAAAATCTTGTTATTTAATGAAAGAAATTTTGAGATTTTATAGTTCTTTTCATTTAAAAGTTAGTACCTAGAAACCTTTTTTAAAGTCTCTAGAAATCATTAAAATTTGAATATCACAATATTTATAGAGACTTTTAAAATGTTTTAATTGAATACACCATGACTTTTAAAGATTTTTTAAAAGTCTATAAAAGTCTCAATTGAATACATCAATACTTTTAAAGAGTCTCAAAAAATTCACATTGAATATCACTGTACTTTTTTAATTTCAAAAAGTCATTAAAAGTCTCAATTAAATTTGAAACTGGGGCTCCCTCTTCATCAAAGGAAGAGGTACCAACCCATGTAGAAAATAGGCAGTTCTGAGGGATAATAAATAGAGCAATGAAATGCCTTTTTCAAAAAAATAAAAAATAAAAAAATACAGGTTTTCATTTTTTGGGGGCTTTTGGTTGATTGAACTTTTTCGAGTTATTTTATTTATGTTCTTAATTAATAATAATATTTATAAAACTTTATCTTCTAAACTAGTAAAGATCTTAGAATTGTAGAAAAATAAAAATTGAAGAGAATACTTCTAAGTTTGGCCATATAAAATGTTAGTTTTAGATAAAAATTAGATTTAAGTAAATTTTGATAAAGGTTGATGAAAGTATAATTAAAAAGTTGTGGATTTGTGAAATGTATAGTTAAGATCAATTATTGATTTTGATCTACATTAACTTTTTTAGTTGAATCAAATGGATAATCCTACTTATACATCAAGTGGTGTCCAACCTCCTCACATGGAGGGAGGCTAATTTTGAATAAATCATATTTTATTTGAAGCGGACATCTCTCCATATGAGAGAGTTGGACACTTTGATATACATGTAGCATGACCTGAATCAAATAGGGGTTTAAGAAATATTTTGTGAGTTCTAAATCATTTTTTGTAATATCCCAATCATACATACAATATGTTAGGCATAAATGGAAGTTTTGAGTAATTTAGAATAATTTAGCAACTTTACCATTTTCGAAGGACCTTGTGTTAATATACTTAACAATTGGAAATATATGAGTTTTACACGAAATTAAATTTAATATTATTTTGGATATCTATTAAATTATTATTGAATTATCTGATATAAAAATATGGGGGATTTGTTTAAAAAGCCTAGTCAACAATAATATTTAGTAAAATAGGCTATGTCAATACGTTTTGGTTAATTAGCTTTTAGTCTACTTTATCATGTGTTAAAAGTCTTAAACACTCTTCATTTGAAATATCTAAAATATCCAATCTGATACAAAAATTTACCAAACTCCCCAAACTTAAATGCTAATTTTTATTCTAACTTTTCGTACACAATTTAAACCAACAAGAAAAATGACATGCTGCCTTTTAAATGATTGAATGTCATTTTAACTAATATCATGTTTATATTACTTTATATTTCTTCGTATCCACATAAAAATTAATTGAAACAAGTTTTAACTATATTTCGAGTGCTATTGAGTGTCCATGATCCAAAACGAGATGCTGTCATTATAAACCATTTGATGACGTTTTAACTAAAATAAACAATTTTTCACTAATTTATATTGAAATCGAGACCCCATAATCCAAAATGTCATACTACCATTTTAAATGATTGGACGTCGTTTCAACTAATTTCGTATTTGTCTTACTTTATTGTCACTCGTATGCACATGACAATGAATGATTGGAATTTTTCATTACAATTGAACCCCAGTAACGATATAAAGTTCACAAAATAATGATCAATACTATTGTTCCGTGAAAAAAGTAAATTATATATAATTACAAATGAAAGTAAGTTAATTCCAATTATATTCTAATTATGAGATAAGATATTCAATAAATTGCCTCGTTTAACTTGTACAAATCTTTTAAGATATTCCAAGTCTAATCGACTCATTTTATAGTGAAATCAAGGTCTCGTCATCCAAAATAACATGATGTATTTAAAAGGTTAAATAATTTAAATTTCAATTAAGAGATAAAATACTCCACAAAATAGCTCGTTTAAATTGTATAAGTCTTATATAATGTTCCAAGACATGATCGATTTGTTTTAGAGTGAAATCGAGACCATATAATCCAAAATGTCATGATGTCGTATTAAATGATTGGGTGTCATTTCTACTAATTTCGTATCCACTTCACTTTATTTTCACTCGTATGCAGATGAAAATGAACGAATGAAAGTTTTCGTTATATTTGTCCCGCGATCGGCATAAAGTTCACGCGATAATGAACAACGCTATTGTTCCTTGAGTAAACTGTATTAGATTTAACTATGAACGAAATTAAGTAAATTTCATAATATTCTAATCATGAGATAATATATTCAACAAATTGGCTCGTTTAATTTGTATAAGTCGTCTAAAATGTTCCAAATCTTATCGACTCATTTTAGAGTGAAATCAAGGCCCGTGACTTAAAAAGACATGATGTCAATGAAAATGTTAGGTGTCGTTTAAACTATTTTTGTATTCATTTCACTTTATGTTCACTCGTATCCTTATAAAATGAATGAATGCAAGCTTTTACTACATTTAAATATCGAGAACCCGTAATCTAAAACGCTACTATTTTAAATGATTGGGTGTCATTTCAACTAATTTCATATCCTCTTCATTTAATTTTCACTCGTATGCACATGACAATGATCGAATGGAAGTTTTCATTGCATTTGGACTTGAGTATTGAAATAAAGTTCATGTGATAGTGACCAACAATATTGTTTCATAAGAAAATTACAATAGACTTTATTGCAAGCGAAGATAAGGAACTCTAATTCCGTTATATTTTATTATGTATTAAAATATTCAATAAATTAGTTTGTTTAGCTTGTAAAAGTCTTTGTTTTGAATTATTCACGCCCATAACCATTTCAAAGTTTAAGGATGAAAGTTTCAACTACATTTCAACGTTATCGTCGACACATTAATTCAAACTATGACAAGTCACTATATAATCCGGTTGGAAACTGCACTACTGATAAGTATGTTTTTGCACACTTATTTAGGTAACAAACATGACTTAATTACGAATAAAATGATTGAATTGTGACTTAATTTCATTACATTTGTGAATTGTAGGTAACACCGATAGACATGGTGAAATACATGAAAAAAGAGGCGAAAAAGGACTAAAATGACACAAGGTGAAAGTTCAAGGACCAAGGTGCAATTACTCAAAAGTTGACCCGATGAACAAATCAAGAAATTGAGTTTTCCAAATAGGAATTGATGACATTTTGGGATGATGGAATGCGAAGAATGAAGAAAAGATGTAAAGAAGTGGAAGATTAAAGTGAAAGGACCAAATTGTAGGAATTGACAGATCAATTCATGGTAGAAACGTCGTGCGACCGCACGAAGTGATGCAGGAATTTATAATGAAAAAAGAGGATAACGATGCTGCCGCATGGATTAAAACCATGCGGTCGCATGGTACAAATTCAGTGGGAAAATTTTCTTTCTTTATACGATTGAAATACCTATGGTAACCTAATTTTCCACGGGATATAACTATCAAAAACATTCCAGAGACGCTGGGAACGTAATTGGAGGCCGAAAAACAACTCTTGAAGAGGATTTGTGTGCAAGAACAACGATTGACACGAAGAACTTCAAGATTTATTCAAGTTTTATAACCCGGTGATATCTTATATACAAACTTTGATGTATTTTGTTATTTTGAGCATGCTAGGCTAGATTTTATTTATGCTAGGAGATCGATGAACAATGTGATTTGAATTTTAATATTCTAGTTTTGCAATTTGATGTAAGACACAATTTCTATTATATTGAATGACTTATATGCAATTAAATGTTTCCGCAATTAAGGGCTCGTAATTGTGTGAATTTAAGTGATTTATTCTTGCATTCGAGAGAATTGGATTAGATTTGACATAGTATAAATCATCGTAGGGTCCAATAGTGGATAGAAATATACCGCTATGCTCTATGTGAATCTTTAAATGTTCATAAAATTGCATGCATTTTTACATATGCTCTTGTCATAGAAATATAGACCGGTGGTATGTAGAGATAGGTTTGATACATCTCGAGAGAGAGTATTGGATAGATTTAGGAACATTGATTCGTCAAAATCGAAATGTGTTGTCATATTGTGAAACTAGAATTTAAAGTGATAATTGCATGGGAATTCGTGATCCTAGCGTATTTCATTCCCAATAATTATAACAAGTGCATTCTCAACTTTTAAATTTCATTCTCGAGTTTTAATTTATTGTTTTGCATATTAATTTCAATTTAATCATAAGAAAAAAAAATTGCATAATTGAGGTTCAATTAAGTCTACATCCAATTTGGTAATTTAGTTTCGGTTAAG